AAAAGAGAACCACCTTCATGACAGTGAAAGCTCTGATTCCATAGACTTCGTATTGCAGTGAGAACTAATGTAACAGGAGCACGCGATGCCCAGAACCTTCCTGGAGTTCAGAGGGTTAATTCACTAGTTCATGTAGTACCAGATGTTCCTGCCTGGAACACACAGTGACGGGAGGTTTGAACCCTATCAGCCACTCTGCTGTCAGAGAGTCTTCATCTAACAGACGACTAAAGTGACAAAAACAAACAGTTCCACGTCTGTGGAGATGCTGCTCGTATGTGCACACACAAGAGCTGCACGCTGAGAAACGCAACAACCTGCTGGTCAGTCCGTGGTACCGTCAGACGGCCTAAAATAAAACTAGCTTGTATAAAAGGTAGTGAATGCTCACATCCAGTAGTGTAACAGGTTTCCTTCGTTTACCACCATCAGCTGTTCAACAACTCACGAAAGCCGGGAGAGACGTGGCTCAACACCAGAGGAGCCGTTTACCTCGAGTTTAAACACCCTGAACAGTTTCATAAAGTCCGTTGAACACCTGCTGCGTCGCTCAGAGGAGGTCGGTCCCGTCGTAGACCACAGGCTTGTCCAGACTCAGATGATACAGCACTTTCTTAGAGATGAACCTGATGAACAGAAACGACAGACAGCGCTTTATGTTCCTGTTTAACTCTGAGGCCAGACCAGAAACTGTTTTTGTTTTGTACAACGCTGCTGACCTGGAGAACGAGTTGTCGAAGATGAGCGTGTATTCTCCGGGGTTCCTGACCTTCAGCTCCCCTTGAATCGTCTCCTTGTGGGAGTTGCAGCGGGTCAGCGGGATCAGAACCTGCAGAGAGCAAATCAGGAGTCGAAACATTTGTAGATGAATATTTCTGTAAGAGGAACAACAGGAGGCAGAGATGGGGCGTGTCCTCAGATCTGGATCTAAACCTGATGAATCCCAGTGACATTAACCATCAGCCTGCTCTGACTCCTTTTCTCTTTCCGATCAGCGACAGTGTGTCTTCTGCTCACAGGGGATTCAGCTGCATTAGCAACACGGTGGGAAGACATGTTGTTTCTACCTGACTGTTCAGGAACTAAATAATTCACAGATGATTCTTTATGCATTTCATATTTACATATTTATATTCGTTCCATGATAAAAGCGCTCGTTCTCCTCATGATGCACTAAAGATAAATATTAAAGTGCAGGACTGAATCCTGTGACTGCATCTCACCGTTGTTCTGTGGAAGGTTAAAACAGCAACAACACCGAAGGTCCATGCAAACGGTTTCTGCTCTGCAGCTGTTTTCGGTCTCTACCACCTCCTGAGGGAAACATCTGGCTGTTCAGCTAGCTGCTAACGGTGCTGCGTCTATCCAACACCGCATGAGGACTGAGAGAAAACCAAAGCTGTGAGGTTTCAGCTGAAAACGAGCTCAAACTTCTCGTGAAGCTGCATAAAGATCGGGCCGATCGTTGTCGGTGGGTTAATCGCCATCTTTCACGTTGTGGTTTTGGATCACGTGGTCCATCGTGTTTGTGTTGCTGAGTTAGCGCTTAATGTTTAGAATATCTGACACGATCAGCAAAGTGTTTTAATTCTAATAAATTCTGGTTGACGACTGAATCAATGAACAGACATAAGTGTGAACTTAAGTGTTCACTGTTCATCTATATTTATCTGCATTCTTCATCTGTCTGCTACAGTCACAGATCAGCGCAACTCAAAGTGTAATTACAGCGATTATATTCAACATTTAAGAGTTTTTGTCTCCAAACTTATTGTTGAACACGTCCACGCTCTGATCCAAGCTGCCATCAGGAAGCTTTTAAAACAAAACTTTCCTCCCAAACAAGCTCATCCTCCATCACTGGTCACCTAACCTTCTTGTGCATCTTCTTCGCGGCTGGTAAACCAACTTTAGCTGCATTAGCGCCACCTAGCGGCCAGAGTGTGAGTATCAGTGTTACTGGTGGGACAGAAGTTAGAGAACTGAGAACAGTGCAATTAAATGTCTTCTGTAATAACATGTTGAAGTCCATCCCTGGCTTATATACGTCACCAGTTTACTGGTTGAACAGTCATTAAGCTCAGCTAGTCGTGGTGTTTTATCGACTTTAAATCAGGTCCGAGGTGGAGCTAGTCCTCCAAACGTGCCCTGTCGTACCGACCTTGGCCTGCTCCAGTGGGATCTCTGCGCTCTCCCTGTAGACCACGCTGAAGGAGATGCTCTTTGGCTCAGAGGTGAAGGTCCAGGAGACGGTGGCGCCGGGACTGCTCATGGTGATGGGGATGGTGCTGTAGCAGCTGGACTTGATGAAGAGCTCTCTGGAGCTGTCGCCAAAGCCCGAGATGTCGTCCACCGTGAAGTGAGCAGAGAGCCTGCAGCGGTTAGTAGGACAGCTCACATTAACACGGAGCTTCATTATAGGTTCATCTGATCAAAAAGAAAAATCTAGAGTTCCCCGGACTGAGGTTGATGTGTTTTAGCTCCTTGTTTTATTCATGCAGCATTATCAAGTGTGTCGGACTAAGTTTTTCTCTTTCCTGTTAGAGCTAAAAACATCTGCCAGTTGATCCACATTTAACGGGTACAGGTCCTCAAATACAACAACTGGTATCTTCGTCTAACATTTTACTGGATCTTTGGGTTTGGCGCTGCTGCTTCAGTGAAGAAGGAATCTGAAACGTTCGCTGTGGATCTGGGAAACTGTTTGGGAGACTGTTTCAGCACGTTCTGACCAAACATGTGATCGAGCTAATTGTCAGATTAACTGTAATTCATCAGGTGCAGCTCCAGCTCCCTTCAATCTGACGTCCAGCTTTCTTTCATTTTCAACCTAATAATAATAAACATGTACGTAACAATATGTCAATAATAAACCATTCATGTAAATGTTCTTAAAGTTCTTCTGTTTTTTTTGTTTATATTGTATATAAAGTGTAAATAGCTTCAGTTTATAGTTGTGTTTTCTTGTTTTTCTTTCCGTCACTTTGCTGCTGTGACGTTGGAAATTTCCTCTTGTAGGACTAATAAAGGATTTTCTATTCTATTCTATTCTTCAGCTCAAATCAATCATACACTTCAGGCTGCTTCAGCTGCAGCCACAAACCTTTCATCCTTTTTTTCCCACAGATGAAGCGGTGCTGACCAACACCTGTGAACAGACCCTGAGGTGTTAAACGCTGGAGTCCCTCTTTATAAATGCTCACTGGAGGGCTCCAGACTAAAAAAACAAAACTGCATCAGCATGAAGGAATCGTACGGTGAAGTCCTGCAGGACATTTTTTGGTGCTGGTGGCTCAGCAGCTCCTCAGCGAGGCAGATGGCTGCTGACACGATGCCTTGAAGCCTTTTCCTCAACTCGATAAACAAACCGACTCAAAGTTAACGCAGAAGCGAACCGCGGGCTGTGGAACTCGGGGCAGGTAACGTTCAGCGAGGCGCCATGTTTCACTTCCCATTGTGGGATTTTCACCACAAAATTTGGGAGAAATGACATTAACAGCTGGTGTTCTCGTAGACACGACTCTGAGTGGAACCTCCACAGCAGAGGAAACTCACGTGAGCTCTCCAGACTTCAGCAGACAGATCTCTGCATCCTGGACCGCAGCACCGAGGTCCTCGGTCTCCTCCGCTGTGAGGTCTCCGGCGCTGACGCTGTTGCTCCTGATGATTCACATTCAGACATTGTTTTTTTACTGCATATCGATTTCCACACAAACACTGACACAAAAGCTTGCAGTGTGCTTCATGTGAGATACTTACAGCTGTGCTGCCCCCTGCTGTCCGTGGCCGGGAGAGCCGGCGGTGGCAAAGGAGAGGGAGTCGCTGTCGTAGACGCCGCTCACCTCCTCCTCTGTGATGATGTCGAACACGCCGTCGTCCAGCTTGTCGCCTTCATCTGCTCCTGGAAGACAAACATCACCGGACTTCACACTCTCAGCCTCCAGCAGCACAACTTAAAGCAGGAATCCCTTCCACTTGTGTGTGTGCAGGTGTGATGGAGGTAGTGAGCCACCTGAAGCCACGGCTCGTCCGGCCTGCAGCAAGCGGCCGAACGGCGTCCCCGGCATGCTGTGAGCCGCCTCCTCCTGCGGGTGGCGCTCCACCACCGCGCTGTGCTGGTGGTAGCAGTCCCTGCAGCAGCGCTCTCGGGTGCCTCCCTGCTGGGTGCTCACTGTGTTGCTGCAGCAGTAGTAGCAGAAGGGACGCCCACACAGTCTGGACGGAGGGAGATGGAACATGTGAATACGAATGACTCTGAAGTTTACAGCATTATGGAGCAGACGAATGACGAAGGAGTGCATTTTGTGTAAAACGCTGCCACATACAGAAGATCTAGATTTAAAACGGTGCATCTGAGACGATGCTGAACAGCAAACAAATGCTGCAGGAGGAAGTCGTCTTTAGTTTGTAGCCTCTATGTGGAGGACAGCCTGCAGAGACATCGCTGAGACGTTACGGCACAATGAGTCTTTAACTGCAGACACAGAAGCTGATCAGTTTAAAGTGTCACGACTCTGTTATTTATGGCCTCGTTTCCTTTTTAATAAAAAGACTTTTGAGCTTTTTGTCAGTCTTGGTTCACACAATGCTGCAGCTGTCAGATCCACAGACGGGTTAATATTATTATTATTATTATTATGTCATATATATTCATTGTTCCTTAATTCCTTACAATGATAATAATAAGAATAAAGAACAAAAACACATAAAATAAAATATATGAATATATATAGAAACTGTTACATAAATAGATATTGTTTAAAAATGTACAGTTTTAGGTTAGTCTTTACTAGTTTCGGTATTAGTTTTTATTATTATTATTATTATTATTATTATGCAACATTAAAGAAGCTAAGAATAGAAACTAGAAGATGAACCCGGCGTGTCAACAAACACACACTAATGCCTCCTCACAGGAAATTCAGACTACAGACAGTACTTGTGTATTTTAGTGAGTTCTGCAAGTAACAGAAATAAGTTTATCTTCTCTCCTAAAGTCTAGTTTTCATTTTTATTTGAGGGAACAAAATGTTTTGGGTAGCTATAATAATCTACTGATCACACTGGTGCAGGTCCTGATGCTTTCACACCGAATCCAAATGTGTAACTACAAATTAATGATCCCATAATATAATAACATAACGGACTGGATTATTGATCTCCACACTGGGCATCTTAATTATCAAGACTTCTTTTAAACAACATTGGAAAGGCAGCACTGAAAGACATCCCAGGAGACCGGTTAAAGGAACGGAGGCGTCAAAGTATTCAGGAAGCGCTGCGTTAAACATGAAGAAAACATTATGAGCTTGTTTAGATCCGTTTGCTATGATGTGAAACTTTTTGTAAAGTAGAGCGCTCGATGTTCACCACTGGGTTGGTTTCTGAATCCAAACGAGAAGTGAAATACAGAAATAAACTTGTTGTGGACTTCAGCGACGCAGTTCTTTTGACGTGCGTCTCTCTTTGTGTTGAGTTTGGCAGGAATCAGGAATCATGTACGTCTGCAAACTACAAAACACGCTTTAACAGTCAGAACTAGTGCAGCTTAACCCTGTTCAGGACCTTCATGTCATCCATCATCTCTACACCTTAATGGGGGGGCGGAGTCTATCCCAGCTGACTCAGGGTGAAGGCAGGTTCACCTGGACAGGTAACCAGTCTATCACAGGGCTACACTTAGAGACAGACAACCAAGCACACTCACATTCACACCTACGGACAATTTACAATCACCAATTAACCTCAGCATGTTTCTGGACTGTGGGAGGAAGCCGGAGAACCCGGAGAGAACCCACGCTGCACGGGGAGAACATGGAGACTCCACGCAGAAAGAACCGGCGACCTTCTAGCTGTGAGGCAATGATGTTAACCACCGCTCCACCGTGCAGCCCTGAGCAGGACTTTTATACGTGTTACATGTTAAACAAATGTTCTGATCGGTTGACGTCGTTTTGGTTCCTAATGCTGACAAATGTCCTTCTTTGTCATGTTTTTTTTTTACATTTTTAACACCTGTCACTTAAACCAAACGGGGCCCAAAAGACCCCAACAGTCCTGAACAGGGCTAAAAGCAGCACCACTGCATTGGGTTTGATGCACAGAACACGACCGGACCTGCAGCTGTACTTGCGGAACCACCAGCTGAACTGCGTGTTGCAGCCCAGGCAGTAGTTGACGTCCCGCTCCGTCTCCTCGTCCCGCAGCTTCTGCTCAAACTCCAAAGCATCCGACTTCTGCCAGAGGGCGTCCTTCTCCCTGCAGGAAGCACAGAGCGGCGGATTGGTGTCAGGAAAGATTTCAAACCCGCAAACGACAAGCAGAACCAACGTTTCTACCTGATGAGCTCCACCAGCCGTTCCTCCAGGTTGATTTTGGTGCGGTAAAGATCGTCGAGCTCGGCGGCCGTCTTGAGGTCGAAGCTCTGTTTGTCCTGCGTGACCCTCCGTAGGTTGTCGGCCATCTCCTGACAGGCCTGCTGAGCCGCGGCCAGCGCCTCCTCACACCTGCAGACATCACCACACACAGGCCGAGTCACGACCCGCCCAGAGCAGCACCAAGACGCTCAGCCAGCTTTGATCGCTTCCACGCAGATGTGATTTTTTAAATTTTTTTTTGAAGATTAGAATATTAAAACACAACAAGAATCCTGATCTAAACATTCCCGATTGAAAAGGTTTCATCACAGAGCTTTAATTTGTTCCAGAATGTGTGGCTATGAATACAGTATCTCACCTTGATAAATTCCCTCTCAGATGGATTATCTCGTCTTCTTTCTGCTGGATGAGATTTTCAGACTCGGCCATCTGGATGTTTTTCTCCTCAATCTGTTGGCAATATCTCTGATTTCCAGCCTGCAATCAGTACAGCAAAGCAAGACATTATTTCTGCTTCCTTGTGAGTTATGCTCGTGACCGTAACATTTTGATTACTGCGATTGCCAAAATACACACAATGCAACAGGAATACGTGGGCTCATGTTTCAATCCCAGATGCAAAAAAATGAAAAGAAGTGCACGTAATCTACATGCAGCGTTTTCTACGGTATCATCCTGCATTGCTCTCTGCAGCGTGGCCGATATCAAACAGTTTCATTTCCTGGTCCAAACCGCTGTGGCTGTAAAGCGCAGTCATGCAGGGGAACGATGTGGACCACATTTTTTACAAAGTTGGTTTAAGTTTGCTTTTGTGACGCAAATACAGAAAAAAAAAGTGATTTTCAGTGTGATAGCAGATCTCTACGAAGCAGTCAAACTGCACTAGGAGTCTAAAACAAGTCGGTATCTACACGGGCAGAGCGTGTGCACCGCTGAGTTACTGTAAAGCTGCTCGAGTTCAGCCCCGTCACACAAGGACCTGGAGTCAAACATGGTCCCTCCAGGAGAAGATCTGCTGTTTAAACCTCCTTTTAGCACAACTTTGCTCTCATTAGTCCACAGAACCTTCAGCAGGATGGATTCTAGACACATGGTCTCACCTCCAGCTGTCTCAGTTTGCTCTCCAGGCCCAGCACTTTCTCCTGCTCGGTCGCCAGCTGCAGTTTCACTTCCTGTAACTCCTGATTCACGCTCTGGACGAGAAAGTAAACAACAGAGTAAACGCGCTGATGACTGAAATATGACGGACATTACAGTAGACTTGCTAACAGCCATCTGCAACACAAACAGAGTTAAAAACTAGAGATGCCACCGGGTTGACTCGTCAACGCAGGGCTGCTTCCTGACTTCTGTCTGCTGTGCTTTGACATGTTTTTATTCATACCCCTCCATTAAAGAAAAGGTAAAACTGACAAAAGTCACTCAAATATCTAGAAACTGAAAAAAGTAATAATAAATAAAACTTTGCTAAATTATAATTTAGTGAAATAAGACGTTGCTGTTGAATTGTGGTTGAAAAGAATCGTTTCAAACTGTCTTCCTTTAATGGGAGGGTGTGAATACATTTGAGGACGGCTGTATTTATGCTTCTTGATGCTACCTAATACTACTTTCAGTTATTTTAAGTGTGACGATGCATCTGCTGCCTTTACATCCTCATAACGAGCAGATCAGAAACCTGTATTTCCACATACATGGGCGAGAAGTCAACACTCTCGAGCTGATATCAGGTTTCAGGAAGCAGACAGATTATTTAATGAAGATGTTTTGGGCAGGAAGACAGCATTCCTGTTGTCTCAGTCTGACCTGGAGCTGCTCCTGGTGTTGCGTCGCCTGGCTGCTGAGCTGCAGTCGGAGCGCCTGCGTCTCCTCCTGGCTCGCCTCTTGCACGGCTTCGGCCTCCTGCTGGGCTTTGCTCAGCTCTTTCTGCAGCTTCTGCTCGGACTCCAGCAGCCTCTCGTCGTTGTGGAGCTGGCTGAGGAGCTCCTGGTTCTCCTGACGGAGCTGCTCCATGCAGGTGTTGAGCCTCTCGGCCTCCTGAGTGGCCTCCTCCTCCAGCTCCTGCAGCCTCGTCGACAGGCTCTCCCAGCGCAGGCGAGCCTCCTCGTTCTCGGCGGTCAGCATGCACACGTGCACGCCGAGCTCTGCGGTCTCCGTGTTGGCTCTGTGAAGGGCCTCCCTGGACTCGCTGTTCTCCAGACACAGGGCCTCGTAGCGCATCTTCAGCTTGTCCAGCTCCTCTCTGGAGGCCGTCACCTCCACAGCCAGACCCGCCCGAGCCTGCGCCTCTCCGTCGCGCTCGCGGACCAGCGCCTCCTCACGCTCCCGAGATCGAAGAATCTCGTCCACGTGCCGGCGGTTTAGCTCCTCCACCTGGGCCTTCAGCTGCTCTGCTAAAACACGGAGGTCCTCCCTGGAGGCCTCCGTCACCTCCTGCAGAGCCTGAACCTTCACCCTCTCCTCCGTCCCTGCCAGGAGCTGAGCCCGGAGCTCCACCACCTCCTCCCGCAGCCTGCTCACCTCCCTCAGGTTGAGCTCCAGCTGAGCCTCGGCTATAACCAGCCTGAACGGGGCCTCTTTGGTTTCCACTGAGGAGCTCTGATGGTCGTCGTGAAGCTTCTGCATCTTCTCGTTGCTCTCGGCGGCTCCTTTCTCGTCGTGCTGCTCTCCGGCCCGGCTCTCCAGCTCCTCGGCTCGAGCCTGCAGAAGACCACATGTCACAGTCTGCTCTCTGAGCTTGGCTTCAGTTTCCTGCATCTTTTCAAGTAGCTCTGCTTGGCTTCTTTGGGACGCGGTGAGGTTCTTGTCCAACTTGTCAGCTTTGGCAGTGAGCAGGTCCAGCTCCTGCTGTGCTGCGGCCAACTGCTTTTTCAATGAAGACTGAACATCTAGAAGTTCCCGATTTTCCCGCTCTGACTTCTTTAACTGTGCATCTGATTGTTCCATCTGGACAACCGCCTTCTGGACAAGCTCCTCCAGGTGCAGGTTTTCATCTAGAAGCTTCTTCTCTCGGTCATCCACACTCATCTTTGCAGCCTCTACTCGACCTTTCAGGTGTTTCTCAGAGGCCCTCAAAGCGGCCAGCTGGTCTAACAAGGCCACCCTGCTCTCGGTCATCTCTGTGACGCTCGCCTCGCTCCTTCTAGCGGTTTCTAACAGCTTCGTGTTTATGTCCATCAGGTGGCTGCACTGGGTTTTGTAGTCTTCAATGCTCCCCGTTTCACCGCAGGAGGACACTTCATCCTCATTGGGCTGAGAGCTCAGACGTTCTTCCTCAACATTTAGCTTCTCCAGCTGCTCCTCCAAGTGTTTGACTCGTTCTGAGCTGGCAGCTAGCTCTTTATCTCTGCTCTTAAGAGTTTTTCTTAAATCCAAGATCAGGCTGTCGAGCTCCTCACTGTGGCTACTGCTCATGCTACACCTCTGCTCCACCTCCTCCCTCTCCTCCTGCAGTCTCTTCCTCAGCTCCTCCGCCTGCCGCTCCCTGCACTCCAGCGAGGCCTGCAGGTCCTGAAGCTGCGCTCTCAGGTTCCCCGTCTCCTTCTCTTTTAACGTCAGCGCCCCCTGAATCCGGCCGACTGCGCTCTGGAGCTCCTCCAGCCGCGTGATGGCCTCCTCCCGCTCATCGTGGGCTCCGGCTTTGACCTCGGCCAGCTTCTCCTCGCTGCTCCTCAGCTCTTCCTCCCTGAGCTTCAGCTCCTGCGACAGACGCTCGGCGTGCCTGGCTCTGTCCTCGGCCTCCCTCTTGGCCTCCAGCCTCTCCTCCTCTGCAGTCTTAAGTTTATCCAGGAGCTCCTGGATTTTCCAGGCTGAGTCGCAGTAGCTCGCCGTTTGTTGTCCCTTCTCTGTGAGAGCTTCGTCTAACTTAGAGAGAAGCTCCATGTTTTTGTTCTCGGCAGCTGCGAGCCTGTCCTGCACTTGGCTGCTTATCGACTCCCTGCAGGTTTGACTTGTTCTCTCCTCATCGGCCGTTTCTCCGTTGCTGTGGGAGGCTGGAGACTTCTGAGCTGATAACTGGCCTCGGAGGTCTTTGACGACACCTTTGAGCTCGGCGGCCTCTTTGCTCAACTCCTGAACCCTCGCTAAGAGCTCCTGCTGTCTGAGCTCCGACTGGTCGAGCTCCACGCGGAGGTTATCTGCAACGCTGCTGCCAGGAGGCTCCCCCAGTTCTCCCAGCTCGCCGAGGAGGCTGTGACTCAAGTCTGGGATTGGGAGAAACTCCTGCGCCTGGAAAGAGACGGCACTAGTTAGATGCTGCACTCACGTTTGTGGACGATCGTCTACATGCAGACGTACCTGTGAGTGTGAGTAGCTGCTGACCAGGCTGTTGATGCTGGAGCAGCGACTGGGAGGCTTCCACAGGTACGCCGACGAGCCGGGTCCTATTGTTCGCCTTGGACACGAAGATAAGATAATAATAATAATAATAATGGAGATACACTGATTAGGATCACGTCAGACACAGCAACAGAAAAAACGTGGCTCAACGATGACGCTCTATTTCAAACGTGCTACAACTTCTTCACAGCTTCTGGGTAAATTTCCGGCCACGTCACATTCGGTTCCACGGAAACAGAGAAACAGCAGCAAGCAACGTCCGACTTAGAAGGAAGAGAGAAGGAAGCAAGGCGTTGTGCAACACTTTGAGAAGTTAAAATGTGCTGATTTCCAGATGAACTTCCTCAACTAGTAAAGCTGATGAACATCATTCTGTGGTCATTTTATTAGGAAGCCACTTTGGCCATGTCCTCGTTCTGATGCAACACCGGCCTCTGTGACGCTCATAATGTTTGTGTTGATTATGTCAAAAGCGTTCATGTGGTTTTTGTGCAATAGGATAAGATATTTAAAAACGATGTCGTCCACCTCAGTCATGGAAATAAAACTACATATTGTAATCTACAGCTGTTTGTATGTTCGACTGACCTGTTGTGTAACCACGACCACTGAGTGAAAGCAACTTCTATTTTAAAAAAGAGGAATCAAAAGCGAAGCAACTGAGCCAGTTTCTCCTTAACGAGCGCCACAAGATTTATTTAACAACGAGACCTGAAATATATCGCTGGCAAAAAACTGATGGGATTTCCTCACACAGATCAGCTTTAATCAACTTTAATCAGCTGCAACAGAAGTGAAGCGTTTTGTCTGCTGACATCAAGACTCGAGGTTTAAAGACGCGGCGATCTTAAACGAGCTTAACGTGCGGCGCCACAGCAGACTTCACGTTAAATGATGCCAGTAGTTCTTTGTGATGAAGCCTCTTCCTGGAAGCCTTCCTGTGATGAAGCAGTTTCCCTTTAGTCACTCAGTTACTACCAATGTAAAAAAAACATGACAAAGCTCAGAGTGTGTGTGTGTCTGTGTGTGTGGGTGTGTGTGTGTGTGTGTGTGTCTGTGTGAGAGTGTGTGTGTGTCTGTGTGTGAGAGTGTGTGTGTGTGTGTGTGTGTCTGTGTGAGAGTGTGTGTGTGTTTGTGTGTGTCTGTGTGTGTCTGTGTGTGTGTGTGTGTCTGTGTGAGAGTGTGTGTGTCTGTGTGTCTGTGTGTCTGTGTGTGTGTGAGTGTGTGTGTGTGTCTGT